AGCTTTTATGGCACTAGACTGTAAAGCCATAAACTTCATACAATGATTTTGAGTAGCTGTGATATAACTTGTAAGTATATCAAGTGTAAAGCAACAGTAGTCAAGATCAGACAGTGATAGAGGTTGGCCTGAGTTGTGTACTTTGGCTTTGGGGCAAGGAGTCTTCATCTTTTCCTTATATTCCACACAAACGACTAAAGTCTGCGTCAGGTACGAAGTGGAGCATTCTGAGAGAATACTTTCTGGATTGGTAGAATTAGCTGCAACAATCTTAAAGCTCATTTATAAAACAAAACTTAAGTTTCCTTTAGTTATTAATAGAGAGACAATGAATTAGAGTCTCATCAATTAGCTCTTATATTTAGAACCGGAGGTAGTATATTGCAGAAATCACATCAGGAACTTTATCTGTATTTTTTGTTATAATCACGGCCCATTCAACAAGAAACTACGTCATTTGTTAACCATACGGCCGATACAACATAGGAGAAATGATTATGGTTTGCATGAGGTTCTTGCTGTGTATACTACGGTTTTGTTATTCTTTTCTGCTATAATTGCGCTCTGTCCCGACATTGTTTGAATAGTCCATCTGATGTTAGATTTCTAGTTGATCAGATTGTTTCCATGCCTCATAGATTCTAATCACACCCAGAACAGAGGATTGATGAGTCTGTGATTTATTATTGTCTGTGTGAAAATCTTTTTATAAATACATAATAATTTAATTCTTTTCACTGGCCAATGGCTAGATTACACCACCCCCCCCCACTTTTTGACTGTGACTCGGTCGTCACGCGTCTTGCATGGTTGTTAGCTTTATTGGTTGCTGGCCACCGACCATATGCTGTGTTTTTTTAATCCTCAGTCTGAGTCATTTCTCCACAAATGAGTCAACTCGTGTACTGTTTTGGAACTCAGAGAGCAATAATTGAGTCTCCTTCCGGCCTATATATATGGATAGAGAGGACGTAATGGAAGACATATAGGCAAACAGGGAAGCTAATTAAGCATACTCAAAAATGGGGGTATCATTCAGTGAGATCAGAAGACGTGTGGTGCGTGATGGCCATAATCATGTTCATATTCTTGGGGTTTAGTGGAGAAAGTGAGGGGTGCTTGAAAGAAGAAAGAGAAGCCCTTCTGAAATTGAAAGAAGCTTTCAATTATCCAAATGGCTCTTCTCTTCCTTCTTGGAATAACCAAACCTTCTCTGCAGATTGCTGCACTTGGGAGGCTGTGAAGTGTGACAACTCCACTCATAGAGTCATAAGCCTTTATCTGAACAATACAAGACCTTATGAGTTGAGACACATCAAATGGTCACTCAATGCTTCTTCTTTTCTCCCCTTCATCCAGCTTCAAGTGTTGTATTTGGATGGGAATTACTTGTCAGGTCACCCTCTTTCTTTTAACTATTCTATCATTCATGCATACATATATGTATACACACACACACAGTACATAGACATACATTGCTAATTAAGACCGACATTTTTATAAGCATTTCGAACTGTGATTTTTGAAGATGTAAAGGCACATCGGTTACAGTAAAAAATTAGGTAAAAATGATTATGATCATATCATTCATTGCCTTTTATCTCGTTCATTTTTGTCGGTTTCCTCTTTTAGGCCGCTGATTTGCCAGGGTAAGAGTCCATTCTAGTTCTAGCTAAATATTGTGGATAATTTCTGATTGGAATAATGAAACTTTCGTCCCTCAAATTTGCTTCACTTATTGATTTGGTCCATGAAATTTAATTAATTGTTATAAATCAAGTCCTAAAGTTTTGTAATCATACAAAATTAGTCATTATGGTTTGAAGATATATAATCCTAAACGCACATGTGCTATCACTAACCATTAATTCAAGGATGATAACCCTCACTTTGCTTTATTTATGAAATTTGAACCAATTTTTTATATTTTCTCCCAATAATTATATGTTATATCACTTCATTTATTCTCTCTCATACTTATCTTTTTCTTACTCAATTTCTCTCTCATTCACCATTTTATTATTTTTGGAAAAAAATACATTTTTACATATTTATTGCCTTTAAGCAATTTCAACAAACTATATAATCTACATAATTTAATCATTTATATCTTAATTATAGATAGCAACAGAGGGAGTAAAATTGCGTATGAAACTTTAAGAACTTGATTGATAAAAATTAAACTTCACAAACCAAATTGATAACGGAGACAAATTAAATTTGAGTACCAAAAGTTTTATTACTCTTTTTTTTAAAAAAAAAAATCAAGTAAGATATTTTAGAAAATGTTTGAGATACTAAACGTCTTGATTCGTGTTGTAAATATTTTTTTAAAATAAATTAGAGGCAAGATGTTTTCTTGGATATATAGAGGGGCCCAAAACAAGGTTAATAAAAACTACATTATCAAACTTTCACTTCATGTTAAATTATGAAGAGGATGATGATATTAATTATATGAATTATTTTTTATAATTCTTTATACCCACTAACATTCATAGTAACTGATCACATGTTGTTTGTGGAGCAGGGCTGCTTGGCGATATCAGGCTGGGGAACTTGGAATTGTTGAACTTACAATTCAATATGTTGAGAGAATTCCCATATTTCGGTGCTAAATCTTTGTCTTCTCTATTATAGTATATTTTGAGGGACATATGTAGTTACTGAAACGTGCATCAAATTAAAGCATATCTATTTTTAGAAAAAAGATTACCGGGCCATCATTTTAAGAAAAATGCTAAAAGGAATATATAGACAACGTCTTCTCCATTAAATATATGAAAGTTTCGATTTTTTTGTTCTTGATTTTGTTGGGAAGTCGAATTATTTACCTTTGCCACATAATGATCTCACCTGAACAATTTATATGCCTTTATTTAATTGAGAGAATTGAATGAAATGTCAAAAGTAAGAGATAAGATGACGTTTTCTTACTTAGCAGATTCATTAGCAATAAATTTTAACAACACTTACACACAAACACACAAATTAATTTGAAGGAGTTGTGGCTTAACGCACACATGTCCATTTGGCATTTGACAGACCTTTCTCATTCACGTAATCTGAAGGAGCTGTGGCTTGATGCTAATTACTTGGAGGGCAGTATTCCAGAATCTATTACGTCTCTTACTTCCCTCACCACATTGACATTAGACAATAACAACCTGACTGGATCATTGCCACAAGAAGGTATGCATCATATTTTATACATCAAATTTGCTGATAACAAATTTTTATTTTAATTAAACAGTCAAATTTTCCTTGTTCCTGCAAATTGAGTCGACTGTTCAATGAAATCGATTTCCAATCCATCTCCTAACTGGCATGCGGCAATAGTTTAAAATAATGTAGTCAAAACAAATAATAGTTGACATAATAATAGTAATAATGATAATAATAAGAAGAAGAAGATGGAACTGTATTTACACACATGGACAGGCTAAAACTAATAAAAGGAAATGGCTTAATCATTTATTTTCACTTATATTTTTGGGCTCAATATTGAGGTTTTTCCTGGGGCCCAACTTCTTAATTCGTACATACCCACAAATTAATTTAGCCCACGTAAACCCTTTTTGGAAAAATATAGTATAATTTCATATCCATTTGGATAAGAAGAAAAGTTGAAAGGAGAAAAAATAGAGAGAAGAAAAAATTAGGAAGAAAATATTATCATTCCTCTTACTTGGATAGATGAGAGAAAATAGAGAGGAAAGAAAAACTAAAATATCCTTATCAAAATATATCATATTTAAAATTGAACCAAATTAAATATTGCAGTAGAAAAATTATACTAATATTAGCATCATCAAATCATTTAAAATCAAATTATTTGGTTTATATATTTTCAAATTATTATATTTTAAAACCAACTTATTTAATAAAAATATTATTTTGAGATACAAAATAAAAAGCGAATCCTTTTTTAAATATAATAAAAGAAAATAAATATAGAGAGGGAGAACTAAAGAAGGAGGAAGGTAGTCACGTAAATCTTGTTTTTCTTTCCAAATCTCTCCAGATATGGAGAGAAAATTTGGAGAGAAAATGAGACATAGGGCTTACCTCATTTTTTCCCCCCACTTTTTCTTCCTCTCATATTTTCTCTCCTACCAACTTGGACAAAACTCATTTCTCCTCCCATTTTTCTTTCTAGTTTTCTTTTCTTCATAATTTTCTCTCAATCTAAGTAGGAGGTTAAGCTATTACTTCTAGTTGTATAAATTTTTTAATTAATGGACTAATTAAATAATTTTAATGAATAAAAATGGTATGTTGCAGGAGGCTTGTGCAATCTGAAGAATCTTTCCCTATTGAATCTTGCGTCAATGAATTTGAGGGGCAACTTCCTGCATGCCTTGGCAATTTGACGTCTCTACGTACGCTTTATCTTAATAAAAATCGTTTTGAAGGAACATTTCCTTCCTCACTTTTTCATGCTCTGAGGTCCCTAACAGCAATTTTTCTTTCTGATGACAATTTTAGTGGTTCCTTTTCACTCTCTTCACTTGCCAACCACTCCAACCTTAAAGTCTTTAGCATCTCTTGCTCTAACGCCCATCTAAAGCTTGAAACTGAGAATCCCCCATTTATTCCTTCCTTCCAGTTGAGGCTTTTTAGAATCCACAAATGCTCTCTAAATGAAGCGAACAATAAGACAATGCCTACCTTTCTTCTTCATCAATATGACTTGCTGGCTCTAGAACTTAGCCACTTGAACATTTCTGGGACCTTCCCGTCATGGCTTTTGACAAACAACACGAGATTAAGTTATTTCAATCTGACGCACAACTTGTTCACTACTCCCTTTAAACTCAATCCTGCCTCAAAACTGCTTCAAATGGAGTCCTTTGATATTTCCTCTAACCCCATCAGAGATGAAATGCCATCTCATATTGGATACATTTTTCCCAACTTGATTTCTCTTAATATGTCATCAACTTCATTGCGAGGTTATTTTCCAGCTTCAATAGGTGAAATGAGACAATTGAATGATCTTGACTTGTCAAATAATAATTTATTTGGCTCTTTGCCTCAAGAATTTGGTCAAGGGAACAATGAATTGAGATTTTTGAAGTTGTCAAACAACAACCTGAGTGGCTCATGTCTTCCCATAGGATCAAATTTCACACATTTGTTGTCTCTTGATCTCAACAACAATAACTTCAAAGGAAAATTTCAAGGTGGCTTCATGAACAGTACTGGATTGATAATGTTGGATTTAAGTGCCAATCAACTATTTCGTGAAATACCTAGCTGGATTGGAAAATTTCAAGATTTGAGTTACCTCATTTTGTCACAGAATTCTTTAACACGTTCACTTCCAGAAAGCTTTTGCAACTTGACCAAACTTTCATATTTAGACCTTTCTCACAATACATTAAGTGGTTCTTTGCTAAGTTGCCTGAACATGCCATTGTTGATGTATCTACATTTGCAGGGCAATCATTTCATGGGATCTCTACCTTCTACTTTGGCTAATTCTTCCTCATTGTTGACTTTCGATTTGATGCATAACAAATTTTCAGGTCGAATTCCAAGATGGATTAGCTCATTCTCTAGTTTAAGGGTTCTCATGTTAAAAGAAAACAAACTTGAAGGCTCTATTCCGACACATTTATGTGAGCTCAAGAATATTAGATTGTTAGATCTTTCTCAAAATAAGCTTTCTGGAGGCATACCATATTGCTTGAATAACATCGGATTTGGAAACATGGATGCAGCAAGTGAAATCGAAATAGGAAGTTTTATTGTGTCCTGGACTACAAGATCGTCTCATTACCGTTTTGACAGTATTACCGGTAAAGTTTTTGTACCAAAAGAAAAACAAAATGTTACATTGTGTAAAGTGCAAGAAGTAGATTTTACAACAAAAAGCAGGTATGAATCTTACAAGGGAAGCATTTTAAATTTCATGTCTGGGTTGGATCTCTCTAGCAATCAATTGAGAGGTAAAATTCCTTCAAACCTTGGATACTTAAGCACTGTCCATGCTTTAAATTTGTCAAACAATCAATTGGAAGGGCCTATTCCAGAAACGTTTTCCAGCCTCAAGCAGATAGAAAGCCTTGATCTTTCACACAACAAATTGACAAGCCACATTCCTACACAACTAACTCAGTTGTACTTCTTGTCTTTCTTCTCAGTTGCTCATAATAATCTATCTGGAATGACACCTGATATGAAAAATCAATTTGCAACTTTTGGCTCAGCCAGTTATGAAGGGAACCTTTTTCTATGCGGTCCCCCTTTGCCGCAAAATTGCTCAATAGGAGGGAGAAACAGGCAACCTCATCATTTGGATACAGATGATTTTCGAGATGCTTTCTTATGGAGTTTTGTTGGAGCATTTGGGGTCTTTTTTATAAGTGTCATTACAGTTATTTATTTGAATCCTTACATTTTCAATTACAAACTACTTGTATTAGAGAGAGTTATAACAAGTTATTTGTATGAGTGATGGCAAAAAGGAAAAAGGCTTTACTTAGAGTTCAATTAGAGTTCATAAGATTTTGATCATGTAATCGATGGCCTGCTGATCTTTTCTAGAATTACAATAACCAAAAGATTGCTGGTTTCAAGTCTTCTCAGGATCAGAAAGGAAACTTAATTGAAATATTCGAATCATTACTTCTCATGTGTGTGTACAGCTTAGCAATCTCTTTCTCAAAATCCTTCATTGTCATCTCTGTTTCGTCTCTGTCTCTTTGTTCCTATTGTTCATAAGATGATCAACCTAACCTCATCAATATTTTTTAACCATGAATTGCTACCATCCAGAAGAACCTCCTGCTATTTTTACTGTTATACATATATCACAGGCGATTTGTGATCAAAATACTGTGTCGGCAAATGCAGTTTAAGTGATGATTCCTTCAAGCTTCTTCACAGTTTGCCCTGTATCTGACCATTAACTATAATTATTATTGTATATGTCTCTGTAGCTGCATGAGATTAACAATACTAATCAGTGGTGTTATGCTTACCGGTGGTTTCATATTCACCACCAATGGGGTATCCCTCCAGTGATGCTTCTTCTGGGAGGGACGGTGAGATCACAAGTCATCATCAAAATCTCTCTCTTTTTAACTTGCTTTTATGAACTCTTATTGCTTTCTTAATTTCTCTTGCGATCAGTTCCTAATACGTGCATTGTTCTGTCTCGTTTTTTGCTTTTCTCAATTGCAGTTGTGCAACTCTGTGCTGCTCTTTTTTTTTTTTTTGGGATTATTGCTATGTTGAGTCCCACAATATTAATTAGTGATGCAAAAGTAACAAAAAATTCGATGCGAAGTATTATGTTTACTGCCATAGGATACAATTGGTTAGCTGATATTTCAAAATCTAATGTTGGTTCATTCCAACTATACAAACAAATTCCAAGAACTTTTATTGATGAAGAATGGATTATTTCATCTCAATTCCGTGGTTACAAAATGAATTTGTAACGAAACACTTGGATGTAAAAGTACTTTCATAGAAGTTTCTTTTTTTTGAAACAGAGAGCAGTATTTTTGGTAAAAAAAAAAACAGAAAGCAGTACTTTGCGTGTGCATTTAGTGAGGACGTGTCAGTTTTATCGCCTGTGCACAACTAACTACAATTGATTGTACTACCTCCGGTGTGCAATATAAGAACTAGTTTAATTTTTAATTTGATTCTCAATATAAGAGCACAATCTATTTTGTCTTTTATATTTATTCATTTTTTTCAAAATAATCCTTGTAATAGTTACACATGTTAAATATTCTATTAAATGGTAGTTCTAGTAATACACATAATTAGTAAGGTATTTTAAGGAAGACAATACCTATTTATTTCAAATAACTAATTTAACAAACTTCCTTAATTTACTCAAATTAGTTAATTAGCTCTTATATTAAGGACTGGAGGTAGTATATAGTTAGGTGTTTTATCTGTCTAAAAATTTTTAATTAGTGGGAACAAAGGATTTTTCAAGTTTAAAATTATGAAAAACATCGACCTGCTCCACCACAGAATCATCAGGATTCAGTATAGGTTAATTCAATTAACATATATACCTTGTTCTTGTCTTAAAAGGTTGTGAATGTTGATTAAACAAATCGATCATAAATATGTCAATTACCTTGAGCAGAGGAATCCCATATAACATCATCAAGACATGTTACAGCTGTATTTCTAACTTTATGACGAAACTATCTCATTGCTTGGCCAAACACCACCTAAAACTGATAGTTTCTAAACAAGTACGTACGCGATTTATTATTTCAGGCTTAAATCTGATCCTTTCTGTTGTTTCTTTCTTTCTTGGTTTTCTACAAATTCTCTTTAGAACCTCAAATTCTTCGTTCATCCTTGTGGGAGCCATCGTTTGTTTATTCTTTTCTCTCCATTGAGACTATATAAATTACACTATAAAGTAGATCTTATATTTAGGCAGAAGGTAGTATATAATTACCCCTCTCTCTTTTCTCTTTCTTTCTCATCTCGTGCATAACCTGCAACAGATACTATGAGTCAACTAAACCGAGTTTCTGGTTTTTGTAGAATTATATTATTATTCAACATGTTTTAGTTTCGGCACAACAATCTCAATCTACATGATGGAGCTTAGTTTGTTTGATTCTGCAGAAATGTCAAAAGCACAGGCATTGACTTTAAGTGGTTAAGAATATAAAACTTACTGTGTGGTGAACATTGGTAGCAACTGTCTGGATCAATCACAAATTGAGAGGTCACGTACGTTAAGCCCAGTCATGTATTATGGGGCAACGAATCTTCATCTTTTTCTCGTCTTTTACATTATGTTAAAAATGTTGAACCTCATTCATAAAACAAAACTCAAGTTTTTTTTTTTAATTGAAGAAATGACATGTATGGGATATCATATATGCTTCACATGCTCCTATCTCATCATCAGCAACTTTATCATTTATGTTTTGTTATAATCATGACTCGTTCAATACACAAGTTTTGACAAAATAGACAATTACCATAGGATGGCACATAAATTCTCTGTGCACGCAATGCCAGGAACTGAGCTTAGCTTATTGAAGCAGATTTTTGAACTAGATATGCCTCATGCCTACGAGAAATTGATATGTACCCGAGCCTCCAGCTACATTTGGTTTTGCTGTATACTATGGTTTTGTTAAATTTTTTCTGGTGAAATTTCACTTTGTCCCAGATTTGTTTGAATAATACATCAGATGTCAGATTTCTAGTGGATCAGAGCTGTCTCTATGTGTCATAGATTCTAATCACACCCAGAACAGAGGATAGATAAATCTTTGGCTTCTTATTTTTTAACTTCTGAATGAAATTCATTTCATGAATACATATTAA